CCCCAAAACCCCAAAACCCCGAGATGTTAAAATAGCAAGATAAAATTGATTTAGATAATTAATAATCATTCCAGTTTCAGTTAAATATAAATTTTTTAAGGTGTTCATGAGTCTCTGAGTCTAAATATGAAATTGGTAAAATTCTCAAAAGCGTGTTGCAATCCATCATGATATTTTTCATTCTTTTGTAAATCACGAAGAAAAACAAAATCAAGGCAATAAAAACCAAAATACACATCATGGAAAATACAATCACATAAGCTTTAGATATTGACTCTAAATACGATATTATAGAAGTCTCAGCATCCTAAAGAATTTTAATCATTTATACATCTATCAGGAATTCTTTAGTATAGATAAAAGTGAGAATGTCTACTTCTTCATACATATTTTCCATGAATGTTTAATTACGACTACTCATGCTGATACTCTTGTAAATGATAGTATCAAATTAGACTGCTTTTATTATTATTTGGCTTGCGTATGATAGTCCCTTTTTGAAAACTGAATTGTAAACCCTAAGACATGATTCTTTAGTTATAAATTTATCTGAAGAATCTATCAAATTATCTTATATTCGATCACAGAATAAACTTGAGTCGAGCTCCTTGAAAAGTTTATTTATTTTACTGAAATATCCTCTATCTTAACGCTTAATTTCTAGGTAGGCTCTCTCGTAAGTAAGACATTTTTCTATCTAAGCCTATGTTTCTAATAGCTTTGGTTCAATATTCATTAATATTTCATTTCTGTACTGTATAAACAATTGTGTTTAACAGCTGCTCTTTTTGTATAAACTGTCAAGATCACTCACAGCAAAGTAGATATCGTCAAAGGTTTTTATTGACAAAATGAAAATGGCTATGAAATATGAAGAGAACATTAAACCCAGCAAAAGAAGAGTTATTGCAACTCTAACTCTTCCCCTTGAAGAAATGCTCTTAATTCGGGAGATTATCTTATCCTTTTTTTCTTTATGATCATCCTCATCTTGCTGCTATTTACAATTGACAGGCTCCTAGGGATCTGGATAGAAGGGATTATTCGGATTTTAAAAAGTATCAAAGCCCATTTATATCTCATCTTCACTCTCACTAGAGGTGATTTCTTCTTAAGAATTTGAACTAGAATCTACTCTTCTTGAACGCTTTTTTCTAAATGATATACGATTTGCCATGTTCTTAGTGGAATCACCAGGTTAGTTTAATGCTACCTTTCTCTTATTAATCTAATTTCTTGTACCCTAACCACTAGTCGGTGCTTTGTTCTCCTCTTCATACTAATCAATAGAGTTAGATGGAGACGAACTATCTTTTTTGAAGCTCCAATTGTTGTCATTTTACAACTTCTTATCACTACTAGCACTCTTAATCATTTCTTTAGCAGAATTTCTATCTTAATCTTCGTTTGATTATATTTATCTATGATTGTGATCATTATATTTTTAAGGGAATAATTGGAATTTGGATTTTCTTTTTCTAGAGTTTCCAAGTGATCTGTTCATGTCTTCACTAGCAAAAGCAACTTTTTTATCAGAATCTTTAGGGTGTTCATCAGCAATGCTCTAAGAACTAGAGCTTTTCTTGGAAGCTTGCTGATTTATCAAAGGAAACTGATTTATAGACTGTCTAAAATTCAAATGCTTGCTATGTAACTTTTAGAATGTAAAATGTACATCATTAATTTCAGAAATTTTAGGTCTCATCATCTCCTTCCTTCTTATTTAATTCAATTTGGCTATATCTATTTTTTATGAAAGCTAGATCTCCATCATGATATTATCTTAAGATTCTTCTGTCTGATATCCTTCATTTTCAGTATCAGATTTCCTGAAAGTTTTCGACTTAAGCATTCCATTTGATCTTTTTGTTTCCGGCTAATTTCTTTTTTAAATATGAGTTCTTAAGACTTTCTTAAACTTTTGGTAATATAGTTACATTTCTACATCCTCTTCTTCTATCTCAAATTTGTCATAAAATTATTCTTCGAAAACATTGCTTCTTTCTTGGCAGACCTTAACTATATCTTCTTAAAGTAGAAAGAAAAAACTGAGAACTTGATATTTCCTATTTTCTATTTTTGAAAAATTAGGTAATACCGCCAAAATAATCACAAATATTGAGCTCACACTGATAAGCATAAGCATCAAGGCTAAATTTTTGTTGCCATCAAACTACTTTAAGGTTTCATTTCTATAGGCATCAGCAAGTTCAAAGTTTAGCTCCTTAATTTTATATATACCAGTTTTATAAAACTGATAGATCTATTATTCTAGATCAATAACCTCTGAGGTAAATATCGAGGTATTAGTGAAAGATCTGTTAAGTATTTTCCTGAATTATGTTTCAAGGGAATCAAAGACTATTCCTCTTGTCTGATAATTTTAATTAAAAGGAAAACTAACTATAGCTTATCCGCTTTGCACAAATAAGTTCATAGCCGTTGTCAAAGTCTAATTTTATTAAATTGCCTATCCATTTCTGCTAATAGACCAGACTGGTATTAATTTTTAGTCCTTCATATCTTTAATTAATTTACTCTCAGTAAAATAGCCATAGTTTTAGTCAATAATATACTATTTTTCCTTGATTAAATCAATATTTTTAATAATTTTATCGATCAATAAACCCTCCAAGATTGTAAAGTTACTGTTTTAAATATTAAAAATATCAAGAGTTGCCTTGTATAACTTTTCATTAGGCTTCTTCTATTTTAAACTTAAAAAACACTGCATGAGAATGAGAGCTTTTGAAGTATAAACTAATCTATCCATGACCTAATGTGTAACATCTATTTAAATATGTGCTTATTTCTCAGTTGAAAGAAAAAGCACCAGATTGGTAATACTTATTGTGATCATTATAATAAAGCAGAGAGTCACAAGCTAAAGTACCAATTTTAGCATTCTTGGGGTTTTACCAGTATCAATTAAATTTTAAATCTCTTTTCCATCTTACACAGTGGTAGTACTACCCATACTTACCATATCATCATCGTTTAGATTGAGATTTTCTAGCATTAATGTACCGCCTGTTTTATTCGTATCATTTTCAGTTTCCAAATTTTTCATGATCTCGAATTAAAGATCATTTAACCCAATAAAGAAATATTTAACAATCAAGATTCCTTCCTTATAGTTCTATGTCATCATCTTTATTGACATCATATTTTTTGACTAAAATACTGCTGTGAAGTCAGTCAATGTTTGCAAATTACTCTAGTCAAAGCTTTTCAACTTTTCATTAGCCAATGATGAAGCGAATGTAGAATTAAGACCACAAGTACTCTCTATCTAAGTAGTTCTATCAAAATCAAAAGATTCTATTTCAAATACTTGGTCAATCTTGAGTGCATCTGAAATATATCTAGAATTCTATTCAACAAATGCGCTATTGATTCCAAGAATTTCATTTACAGTCTCATTTACTTCAATGATATGGTTTTTCTCATCAGTAATGACAATCATTAATTCATGAGGATTGTACTTCTTTTGATTTTTAAATGGTGTCATCTGACAAGCTTTATTTACAATAGCCATAAATGTATGACCAAAATGTTTATCATGATTAAACTTAACATAAGCAAGAACAGGTATAACATATCCATCACTTCTCTTCATAAACAAATGTTATTCCCTCTCAATAAAAGAGGGCACTCCAAAATCATTAAATTTCTTCCAAAATTTATGATGACTTTCAGCTACTATAGTAGGCATCATACAATTAATTGACTTTTAGACTAAATAATTGTTCTCATAACCGAGCCATTAACTACAAGTTCTGTTAATAAACATGATTTGACCGAATTCCTTAAATGAAGCTTTGACTATAATAAAACCAGATTCATCAGAATCAGTTAATATTGAATCTTCCTTATATTTATTCTTAATTGCTATCTTGAGTTCTCTAAGCTATTCCATCTTTTGTAAATAAAGATTACATAGCACATCATTGTTTAAGATATATTTTTAAAAGCAAGCTTAATGATAGTAAATCTGATAATTTCGTTTATTTTTACTCTAAATTTCTTCGAATTTATTCATTATTTTATCGATTAATTGAGCAACAGCGATTCCTTCCTTGTATAATGATTCTAAATCATTACTATCAGATGACAATCTACTCCAAAATTGAGTTGCAACACTTGAAATTTCATCATTTATCTAGAAGTATTAATACAATACTAGATTTTAATCAATTACTTTAGGCATATCAATATTTGATACCTCACTATCAATATATGCTTATTTGGCTTTTTCTAACAAATACTAGGAATCAATTAACATCATGATCATATTCAAAAGTCCTAGGTTTAATTAAGATAATCGAGTGATTGAACTGTGACATAAGAACTTATTTTTCAAATGTTCCAGCTCAAAATATGCCCTCATTTAAATAATCTTTTAATTTTTGAAATCAAATTTCATATCTTACTCTTTAATCATCTCATACAAGAGCAAAAGGATAATCTTGAAAGTTTTTATATGGTAGTCAGACTTATCTAATCCCATTTCATACATAATCTAATCAATGTTTTAGATAGGACAATTCTGCTCCCTTTTAATTTTACTATCGCTGAAACCATTTTTCTTATTGCCCTCAGCATAGTTTTTGCATTGAAAACTGAACAAATAATTCAAGTTTCTGTATGAAAGGCTATCTTAGATAACCATACTTTGAGGCTTGAGGTATTTTTGATGAATATCAATCTGTTATGAAGCTGAATTTAATTAGCTTCCATTATCAAAGGGTTTGTCAACATCAAGAATTGTAGCTAAATCAACATTAATTTGCCCTATCTAATTTCTCCCATTAGTTTAAATCAGAGTACTATTAAATGGTAGACTTTCAGTCACATCATCTTCGTTAGAATTCTATTCTTCAATTTCAAATTTAAACATGTCGTAGCAAACGCAATCTTTTAATCTGAAGCAGTTATTTTTATGATGCCATAAGAATTCAAGTAACTATCTTTAAGAGTCTTTGTCTTTCTCATAATTCTCAAGGCAATTGATGTAATGCAGTAGAAACCTTTCAATATCAGATTCACCTTTCAGTTCGTGGCGATAATATCTTTGCTGTAGATCTCTTTTCCTTATCCAAATCACTAACTCAATCATACTGTAACTAAGTATTGAAAAAATGATTGCAATCTCTATCATATAGCCTTTGACCTCTAAGTAGATATAAAGAAGAAAGGTTAAGTTCATTATGAATAGGATTTACCCTAAAAATAATTTGAATCTCATAAAATATTGATCATAGATAGGAAGGATATATAGTACAAGACTCTAAGTTGCCAAAGTAAATATAGAAGTTAGAGCGATTTTCGTCTTAACACTGTCAATTAAGTGAGCCGATGCTAGGAAGCATTTTAGAGCCATTAAGCAATAGTAATGAATGTTGTTGACCTAGCCCCAAACTATCATTTAGTTCTTCACACGCACATTAAACAGTTTAAATAAGAAAAAATCCACGATCAGCATCATGATTACATTCAAAGTATTAAGTACAACCATTGTAAAATAGGTCTCAGAATTTGTTTGAAGTGCAAAAGCACTCACTACTACCCAAACCTCTATTGTGAAGAAAAGTTTGGATTGTACAATAACCATGATTGAGAGTATTTTTGCGAAAAAATTGGGTGAGGAAGCCTTAATGGGTGAATCAAAATAGATAACCAAGAAAAGTGCAATAAGCAAAATTATGAGGTAAAAACCAGCTATAATGTAGGTTGTAAGCATTAGTAGTTGTTCATTTAAGTATAAATTCTTGTATTACTAAGAAAGCTGTGCATTGTAGAGGATGTGGGCTAATCCTTAGCTTCGAGCCATATTTCCATCACCTGATCCATCATTTTCTTGATCATACTATATTCCAATCATCAGAACGAAGAAGTAGAGACTGCAATACTCGCAGAGAGTAACAATGTAGAACAGGTGTTTGCTAAATTTATTATTCTTGAGAAGGGCCCAGACTAACCAAGCTATCCTTTTCTTATCCTTGTAAAATGGGATTTTCAATGTCATTTGAGATATCATTAATTTATTCACAAGTCAAATATTGATTATATTCAAAAATTCTAGTTTAATGGGGTTTTGGGGTTTTGGGGTTTTGGGG